ACCCGGCTCATCTGTGCTTGTGAAGGATGCCCCACCACTGCCAGAGCCAGCGGCCATATCCAGGAGGGGCTGTATGACCTCGATCTTAAACACCCCATTCTTCTGCCACAGGTTCAACACACGCACAATCTTACTCTGCAGAGGAATAAAACAAACACATGAACATGGATGATTGGATGAGTTAGAATGAGAACATGTGAACTGATCATTTTACTGATCAGTTTCTTGCCAGTGTGCATTCTGCACCCACTATTTCAGATCTTACCCTGTCTTCTACGGGGCAAAGGCAGAGGTTCTCAAAGGTTCCTGTGATGTTTTTGGTGAACCGTGGCCCGAAAACATCTTTGTCTGCTCCAAACTGGTGCCTGGACTGCCTGACGATGGAATCCACCACATACAAGCCTGCTACTTTATACTCAGGCTTACACTGGAGGAACGAGATGGAGAACAAACAGGTCTGAGGTGATATTTTTGATGTGGATCAATTGGTTTGTCACTGAATTTAAAATAAATCTGCTCACCTTTTTGATAAACTTTTCAACGATCTGGACCACATGTTTGTAAAGCTGAGAAAGACAGTAAAGTAAGCAGACTGTCATCTGGGTACAGGCTCAAAAAATGAACAACAATAGACCACAGAAGTCAACTGAAGACATAAATGACTAAATAAAGGATGATTAAACTTTCTTACTTTCATAGCTTTGATGGCCGATTTGGTGATGGAGATCATCTTTGCCCGAGATATTGGGGGCTTGGAGTCCATCAATGAGAATAACTACACAGAACACAATAGGTCATGAATAAATTAAACGTGAAACCATGACACAGGAGGGAAAAAAACAATAAAAAGTAACAGACAGCTGACTTTTCAACATCTATATTCTATTGCATTTCCATCACCCAAAACTCTCTCACTCTCATCTCCAAGTGACACAAAACAACCTCTTAAACATGAATGTTTTCACTCAAAAAGTAAGAGTACTAAACAATATTTGAGCTATGAATAAATACATCATGCTTAAAATGCATCTTGTTTTAATGTAAATGTCCTTTATTGATTATTTAACTCCTTTTGTTGTGAAGTTGCTGTTACCAAAAGCGCTGACATTAGATGTATAAGATGCTACTTCACTCTGTGCACGTGTGTATTTTGATACAGAATTCTCCTTCCTCTTTAGGTGTGAGGTGATGCAGTACTTTAAGAGATTTGTTTGCTATTTTCCCTCTGGACAAGCCAACTTGTAGCCAAGAATGTTCTTATTGTGAGACAGCAAATAAGGCCAAGAGTCACAGGAAAATGTGACCCAGGCCACATGTGCCACTCATTGAAGTGTGGTTTCCATTCAATTGCAATATCTTTCTTTCCTCAAGCGTGTTGTTGATCTAAACTAATCCTAACAGGTAACAGTGAACACAACACAACACTCAACTGTGATATGACAAGTTTAAGCCTTTCACAGTCACATTGCTTCACTAAATATGCAGACCCTGCTTTGATACCGGTTAAACTGAGACGCCTTATACATTAATAGGAGAAACTGGATGCACAGATCAGCAGATCTGTGTTTTGACGGGTCCTCACAGTATAAACAGTCTTCAGGCCTTCCAGTAGCTTGGCCTGAAATCAATATTCACGTGCTTTCTTACTGCAGCTACAGTGAGCTATTCGTTTGAAAACATGCAATGTACCAGTAACATAGCATTCTGTTGCACAGTATGGTTCTTCAATGTTCAAGCACAAGCAGGATCAATGTAACCAACCGCAGAGTTAGTGACCATAACTTACTCCTACTAGCTAACATCACGCAGGATACTGGATCCATGGGTGGGGGGTTATTGTTGCGTTAGCTTGCTCCAAACCAGATAATCCAGATCATTTCATTCATTGAAAACATTTGAGCGAAAGAAGCACAAACACAAACGTTGTGTCGCTCCGGTTAAAGCCGAAAATACGTTCAGTTAGCAGGCCCATTGGTTCGACCTGCTCAGCTAGCAACAGAGCAATACAGCGGCACCATGACCAGCACAAGCAGACTCGGTGAGCTAAGGGTCTCTGCGAGTCCCACAGGCTGCTTACCTCCTGGTTAAAGGCGTTGACGGCATCCATGATTGCCTGACGCTGCGAGCCTTCCCTTTGACTCCCGATTCTCCGTTATAAATTGAATTTAATCAAGAAAGAGTCGGTACAACATGTCCGCTCCCGGTAGCTAACGCCAGTTAGCCTCACACCGATAGCTCTCGGGTCGGCGGGCGCGGGCAATGCATGATGGGATTGTGTTTTGTTGTTGTGTGTTTTCTCCACTAGAGGGCGCAGCACTCAAAGACACTGGGGTTCACAATTATCAAATGAAATGGTATTTTATTGTAGTGTTGTTATGTATTCAAATTAAGATACGTGAGTCACCTCGACTCCTGAAAAAAGCTCCTGAAAGAATTAAAGGAGAGTAAAGTTAAAACTAAAATCCCAACTCTTGAATGTCAATTTATTTAGAAAACAGTGTAAATCAATAGGTACAAATTCAGGCTTTATATGTGTGTGCAACAACCGTGAGTCATTATCTGGAAGCAAAACATGGAAATGATAATTTCCAAAGATGATTTGATATCACAGATTATGTACAATTAGAATTAATTTTGGTATGAAAAATGGAATGCCACAATGTTAATACAAATTTTCTTTGTCATATCTTGCCAATGGATTATGTTTATTCTTCTATAAAATCATCAAACCTGGACAAACATCCTTCAGTTACCATTGTAACATATCTTTTGCCAGGGGTTGAAGATTGTTTCAGTTAGGAGGAGACCATGACTTATCCAAATACATTTTGTTTCATTACAGGTCACAATTACATTCGAGACATATAATTGGTTTGGAATAAGTTGTGGGAACTATGTTGTTTCTAAAGGAGGTAAAAGAAAACATAAGTATTCTGTCAATGAAGTGTGATTAGTGGATCAAGTGAACATGTCAGAAAGTATAAAATCACAACCCTTACACTCATATAACCCTTAACTCAGGGGTGTCAGCTCTGTTCCTTTAGAGCCGCTGTCTTGCAGGTTTTAGATGTTATCTGATTCACTTACCGTAGTCACACCAATGCACCGGTAGAATAGATCCATTAACTGATATTAAGAATCAGGTTTGTTGAAGCAGGGAAACATCTAAAGATTTTGCAGGACCACGGCCCTCAAGGAGAAGGGTTTGCCATCTTTTTATTTTTCACATCAGGCAAACAAAACTGCTTATGTTCTTCCAGGAACTGATAAAGTAGCTCTTTGATCAGTTTAACAAAACATTTGGTCATTATCAAGAGAGATTAATGTTAACATCTTTTTATACAAATAAATCACAATCCTTCTTACAATAAGAATCATAAAGATGTGTTTTCTCAGAATGAGTTTTTGTCATTTCAGAGAGAATCGTATACCCAGTACACCAACATTTCTATCTTTTTCATTCCTGCATAGAATTTTCAGTTTCAATGGTACAGTTTGTTCTTACCTTATTCATAGTCTATTTTTTTATAATTCCCTCTGCTTTTGGTAATTTTCAAGCAGACCTGAAAAGATCTGTTTATCTGTGAGAAAGTCAGCCATGACACCATGATGTGAGATTTTATATTCTGACCCTCTAACAGCTTTGGGCCCCAAAATATCATTACAGGGTTGTTCATATAAAAATCTTCGCAAGAAAATAATGTTAGGTATATCTGCCCCATTGGTAAAAATGTTTGCGTTTGTTTTTTAAGTCTATACAGAGAATGGGTATGATGGTGTTGATGATGGAAATCATTCTCTCCAATTTGCCTACCTCATCTCTACATTAACTGTGCAGGTCTTATGCAAAAATGACAAATCACGTCACTTTTTACATCACCATTCTGCGATAGTGTCAAGAGTACTGTCTACCACTTATTAATTATTTATCAAATATGAAGGAGTCGTCCATGGTAAAACTGTTTCTCTTGTACATGTTTGAGTTTTTTTTTCTTCAGTTTATAACACTTTGAAATAAAAATAGGGTTTAAAGTTCTGCTTAACGAACGCCTGCATTTTCACATATAAGTCTAGCATAAAGGATCTCCACTAGATGGCGTAATCGATTTTAAAGGTTCTGATTTTGGATGGTTGGTCAAGTGCCTAGAAAGCATGGTCCAGTCTAACAGCACGCTGTGGTGCTCTTGTTCTTGTGAGAGGTTTTGAGAAGCTGCAGACAAAACGTTGCACAAACGTGCTCCATACAGTAGCTAAAAGTGATTGGAAGCATCTCTGCGAGGTACTCAAAAACATTTTAATAATGAGTCAAATCTAATGCTGTGCAGTATATTTCCTCGTGTTTGATTTTGCATGTTGAATTTACTGTAAAGTTAAACGAAAACATTTGTTGATTCATCCGAAGACTAATGCAGGTAGCAGCCTGTGAATCACACCGCTGTCATCACCTTTTATTATCCCTCTGGGAAATAAATACCATATTAATTAGGTCATTGAACAATTCATTGAGAAGGAAGGAGGGACTCCTTCTTACCTGCTCTTGGAGTAAACATTTCTATTATCTCAACATTTTAATTTCAAACAAACAAATAAAATGACTGACGAGAATACAGAGACGCAAATCAATATTGCTACTTGGAGACCTCTTCTGCCAATTTTATAGAGAAATAATTGTGCTCGTTCCATGGTGGGAATTTATTTACGCACAGACAGCTTATTTAAAACAGACAGCCACCAAGAATACTAATTACATTTGAGACTTATAAATCTATCGAAATAATGAAATAATAAACAATTTTGTCAATAACTCTGTCAGGCAAAGTATTCTTTGTTCGTGCCCGTGTGCGCAGCTCGGGGTGGTGGTATCGGTAGACTTGTTGTTCCCGTTGTTCTCACAGGCGCTCCGCCCGCGCGCGCTGATTGGATTGAAACCATTCCCTGCGACCATCAACGTGCGCTTTATTTTTTTTTATCACCCACCCAAGGAAACGCCCACCCAGAGGACCGGGAAAGTGGCTTCAAACTGAAAAGCATGCTGCTCATTCAGTAGACTCAGGTTTGGAGGTGCCACGCTGAGCGCGCGCCTCTGTCCTATAATCCCAATCTGCAAACGTCTGCGCGTTTTGACAGACTGCGTCAGTTAGGTTCTTAACTTTCCATTACTCAGAGCAACATTTTTTTTTTTTTGCCTGTGTCATATTTAATCTGAGCTGAGACAGGAGTTTGGGAAACTGCTGAGTGGGGCGGCTGGATGCTTTGGGTGAACAGGTGGCGCACACCGGACGGACTTAACGCCCTTTACAGGACGCTGAGCCTTTGGTAGGTTAGTTGTCTCTGAGGTGTCGCCACTATCTAGCTGCGGGTTTTCCGGACAAGGGGAATCGTGATGTCTGGGGAGGACGGCGACTCGATGGTCAGCCGTATGTCTGAAGTGAAGACCGCGAGAAATGACATCACCCCGTCATCTCTGGCCAGTCCCGAGGCGGACATCCTCAAGAAATTCTACCACACCAAGCGGGTGGGCAGCTACCTGATCGGGAGGAAGCTGGGCGAAGGGTCGTTCGCAAAAGTTCGGGAAGGTCTCCACACTTTAACTGGAGAAAAGGTGAGTTTACTTAAACTTTAAAATGGATTTCTGTTTTTGTTTTGGTCTATTTGCTTCTTTTTAATCCACTGAATTTAACATGACTTATTCTGATCCTGCCACAACCAATAAGATCTAGGCTACAGTTGTCAAGACACTATCGATTTTGAAACTTTTTTAAATAAGAAAAAAAGGAAGAAAGACATTTATGTTTTTAATAATTTCTTTGGGACTGTGTGTTTGGTAAAAAGGCGTTTATTTGCAGTCAAGGTCTGTTGTGGTTCTCATTTTTATGTCAGGGAGACAGCTGTCACTTCCACATGCGTTCCTTTGTGCCACGAGGTAAAAAAAAAAAAGCATGACGATCATATAAGAGATTTCATGTGAATGGATTGGGTATCCATTTTTTTTCTTCATTCCTCTTGTCACAGTGTCAGTCCGGTTTAAAGATTAGCCATCTCAGTGAAAGACCAGCCCTGTTTACACGGAGGGTCTTTGTTAATGAACCCATGCGGCACCGCCAGCTGTGGGCTGCAGTTTCTGCCCAGCAGGGCTGCGTTTTCCGACAATATTTCCAGATTGTTTGAATGAGAGACTCAGTAAGGACTGTGTTACTGTTTTGATATATCCATATATGATTTTGCATGTAGTGATGAGTGATAGTGTCTGTCCTCCAGCTCTGCTTTGTGTTGTATGCTGGTGATCTCAGCCCAGGCGAGCGCGCGGTGCTCTGATAGGGACAGAGGGGAAAATTGGCTGGCCTATGAGCGAGCAGAGCCACTACTTGCATATGAAATCGTGTCGTTGATAAATGGGTTTTTGTCCTCATTACAATTCAGCCAGCGCAGGGCTTTGACACGGCCAGCCATTCGCCACTGGTTGCCTTTGTCTCTGTTGCTTCAGGCAGTTTTGGGATGCGGCCAAAAAATTTGCATATTAGAAAAACAAGTACAACCCTATTTTCGCGTGCTACCGCCTGTAAAACCTGTCTCGTGTTTAATTTGTACCTCGCCGTATACACTCATGCTGAAAGTCTTTGTCAAAAACATGTCTGATTAGATCATCTTGGCCCCCTCCTTACCCAACACCACAATCCCCTCCCGTTGATGTGCGGAGGAATCACTCCTCTCCTCCTTTCCCCCCCCTGTCCCCTCACGGTCTTTGTTGAGGATGATGCAAACGCAGGCAATCTCAAAACCTAGCACATTTCTCTCATTTGAATGTCGGCATCCCACAGGCTCTGGGAGGAAGCAGAGGGCAGCCAGTTTATTCAAGCAAGGGGGTATTCGGGGGCAAAGAGAATGCATGAGGACTCCCCTTTTTAGCATCACTAGAAAGCTGTAGTGAGGACATGTGGCAGTTTGTGTTTACAGGCAGGGGGTCTGAAAGCCAGAAACAGAGAATGATGGTGCCATCGCCGTCAGGGGGTTGAGGGGGTCACATACACGTGTTTTTGATGTCTGTAACCCACTTTCCCTCTATGTCCCCCCCCCCGCACGCCCCCTTTTCTGTCTGAGGGGCGCCTGATAAACAACTGAATCCCCCAGAAGCCCCCCCCGGCCCACCTCGGGCAAGGCACACCCCTCCCCCTTCATACCCCACCCCTGCTTATATATAGTAGCCTACTGTAAATACATAGCCCCCATCCCCCCATACATCCCCCGCTCCCCGTTTCTGTTCCACGGTTGTAAACATGGCCCATCCCTAACTGTCATGCGAGCGCACTGACATACCGTCCACGTACAGCCGGGTTTAATTAGCAGCTGTAAAAAGGTTCTGAGAGGTGAATCAATTAATCGGAGCTGAAAGGACAGACGTAAAAATGAACACTAAGCTCAAGGGCAGAAGAAAGAGACACAGCATTTCACCATCCCCTTAATGGACATGGTGATCAGTTTGTCCATGCCTGGCCATGTCTGTGAGCTCTCCTTCAGGTGATTTGCAATGTATGGTGCCCATGTTCTTGAACTCAGTCTAGACAGCATACAAGGAGACACGCGCAAAGGATAAAATACCGTAATGGAGGGTTTTATTGAATGCAATTATCTACAAATGTCTGTCATTGAGTGAAGGGCACATTCTTTGGCTTTAATGAGGCTTTTCTGAAGGTTTCTTAATCAACAAGAAAAGAGGCTGGGGCGGACGAAATAGACTGGGGCGCTTGTCACTACAGTTTGGGGTCTGCTTTTGTTACAGGTTCTCGTCTGTGAAATTGCAACTCAACCCCGGGGCATGTGGGGGTAATGCCAACTGTCCATTTGGCTTTAGCACCTTCTCAACATATAGGATAACATTTGCCTTCCTCCAACTTTACGGCACTTCAGTAACCTCTGCAGCTCTCCCAGACTCTCACGTAACCCCCCCCCCCTCCTTCATTCTCAGGCCCTTTTAGCGCCTGCACTGCCTCACACTGAGAGCAGCTGTCTGGGAGAGGCCAGTGCCGTGCTATATGCCCTGCAATAGAGATTGAGAAGCTCATCACCTGTTACCCTAAGACTCCTGAAATCCTACCTTAAGAGCCACCATAATGCGCTTGTGTGTCGTTCTTCATTGGTATCACTCACAGTGCCATATGGTGCAAGATTTAAGAGTCAAACCTCAGCTGCCAGGTCGCTGCCAAATCCAAAAGAACCTCTGCTCATTCTCTCCCTAACTCTTCTTTATTTTCTAGGTGGCAGTGAAGGTCATTGACAAGAAGAAGGCCAAGAAGGACTCGTATGTCACCAAGAACCTACGGAGGGAGGGGCAAATCCAGCAGATGATCAGCCACCCCAACATTACGCAGCTTCTGGACATCTTGGAGACAGAGAACAGCTACTACCTCGTGATGGAGCTCTGTCCCGGTGGAAACCTCATGACCCTTATCTATGAGAAGAAGCACCTGGACGAGAGGGAGACTCAGAAATACATCCGGCAATTGGTGCTTGCTGTGGAACACCTGCACAGATCAGGCATAGTGCACAGGTAGAAAATGAAAATAAAAATGCGCAAAGACGTCTTGTTGGCACGGGATCTCACGTGTTTGTGGTAATGTTTGTTTTGGAATTGACAGCTCTTAATCTCCTTTCAGAGATCTGAAGATAGAAAATCTCCTCCTTGATGAGCAAAACAACATAAAGCTCATAGGTAACCTAACTGCTTTTGAATGTCTTATCTTTTTTTTTTTTACCTTGCTCGGGCAACTTTAACTTTATTCATGGGAAGTCATACGCTGTAAATAATATGAATACTCATCAAGAGTTTTATGAAATTCTGTCAATAATGACAGAGGCCACTAATGTTACACTGGAAAAATACAAGACAGTTTTTTAGTTGATCAAACACATTTGCCCTATTGAGGTGAGGGGTTAAAGGCAATAAAACATTCTAGCGAATCCCCACTGCAGCCCTACTGTCCATCTGCTTGTTGTGCTGGAAAAAATATTATTAACCCAGGAATGACTCTGAGTTCACCTTCTCCTCCACAGATTTTGGCCTCAGTAATTGCGCTGGAATCTTGGGGTACTCTGACCCATTCAGCACGCAGTGTGGCAGTCCGGCATATGCTGCCCCTGAGCTGCTCTCCAGGAAGAAGTACGGCCCCAAGGTGGATATCTGGTCCATGTGAGTTTACCTTCATTTTCAAGCAATACATTTTTCAAAAAGAAATTGAATTATTACATGTACAGTAGTATTCAAAGCTGAATAATTATTAACTCTGATTTTTAGTGGTGTGAACATGTATGCCATGCTGACTGGGACTCTTCCATTCACTGTGGAGCCCTTCAGCCTTCGAGGCCTTCACCAGAAGATGGTGGATAAGGAGATGAATCCACTACCCCCTTCACTTTCCACTGGTAAGTAAAGCAGACTTTTATTGACTTTATTAACCAACTAACAAACCATAATACATCTAAAACAAAAGATGGACCAAAGGTCTATACACAAGGTTTGGGTATTTCTTTCTAAATGTCACTCAACTAGAGAAAATGATTTAAAGAAACTTCTTGAAAACCCCTCTTTTGAATTACAATTGTTGAAAATGAATGCAAGTTGGATATTTTTTTATATTCCGTTATTTTTGTTTTATGATTGAAGAACTGTTGTCATCTACGGATCTGAAATGAATTTTTAGAAAAATCTGACTTGATTTATGCAGCATTGCAAACACACTAATTTCCAAGTCGCTGGCACCATGTCAGTCATTGTGTTTGCGTTTGGAATTCCAGTGCAAATTGTTGAAGGGCATTACAGGAAAAACAGGTAATAGTTCACTTCCCTGGAAGGTGTTATCTCTGATCAGTCTATTTGAGCGTGTTAGAACTGGATCTGTCTTTACTAAGAAACCTATAGAGTGACTCGCTCTTCTTAAATAGCCAATCATCACCGTAGGGATATTTTCCCTTGAGAGTAAAAAACCCATAATGTTTGTAAAGCATGTAACGACACGAGGATTGTTCACATGTTATGCAATTACCTGGAAGTCTTTGGCAACATATAAAGATCCACACTCCTGTCTTTCATCAGCTGCCATCTGTCTGCTGAAAAAGCTTCTTGAACCAGACCCCAACAAACGCCCCAACATCCATCAGGTGATGGCTGACTCCTGGCTGCAGCTGGCCAATAAGAACACAGGAGCCCCATTCCTCAAAAGGTAGACCTACAGGCACATTTAACCTGTTCACACTTTTTTATGTAATCTAAACATGTAAGCAAATTAAACAAGTATATAATAAAACATATTATTTCCACATTCATTCTTTCATAAAGCGTTTATTTTTTCCTCTTCTCTTTCTGATTTCTGTGTTAAGGAGTCACATTGAAGAAATAAACCAGACAGTTTTATGCCATATGACGGAGAAAATGGGCTACAAGCAAAGCGAAGTGCTGAGCGCTGTACTTACCAACCGCGCTTGTCACATTTTGACCATCTACATGCTCCTCAACAAGAAAATAAAGAGACTCTCCAATGAGTACAGGGTACGTAGAGATCCCCACTAATATATATTGCACCAGAGGGCAGAAGATGAAGAAGAACGAGTTAACACCTGTAACTTGAGGCTTAAGATAACATTCTCATATGTACTGTATTTGTGCTCGAAATGCAAGGTGATAAACTAGTTGCACAACAGGTCTGACTTGGTTTAAATGGTCACGTGCTACATCTTTTCAGGAGATACTGGACGAGAAGGAAAGCAAATCGGAGAAGAAGAGAGCGGAATATTTCCAGACCCAGTGGAGGAAGCATGTCGAAAAACTCAACTTCCCCCCAAAACAGACACCAGTCTACCTGGCTGTTAGCAAGGGGTCCAGCAAAGACAAGAAACACAGAACAGGTGAGGATCCATATAGTTTGGTTAAAAATAGCAAATGTCTTTACAAAGAGAAGAAACACTGGTTTTCTTTCTCTAAAGTACCCCTTTCATTTATTGTATCTATTTTATTTACTTTTATTCACACAGGGTAGGTTGACTGAGCATGCATGTTCTTGTACACCAACGATTCCCACACATTTAGTTTCCCTGTCATCCCTCCATCCATCCATCCATCCGCCCATCCATCCATCCATTGTTTGTCTTTCCATCCATCCATCCATCCTACTCAACCAACCATCTGAGAGGAAACATCCAGGACAACTTACCAGTCAGTCATGGGGCAAAGACACATACAGTCTTTTATTTCTATTCTTAATCATAGTCTAATATACCTGTTGAAAGTCAAATGACAGCATAGCCCAAAAGTAAGTATGATTCGCAATTAATCTGAAATGAATTCAGACTTTGAAAAAAAGAGTGCCATTGACTATCTCATGACACTAATTGAGAGCTTACAGCAAACGAGGAGCGGGGCAAAGCTGTGGCATAAGCTCCTTTCCCTGTAAGAGGAACTGAGAAAGCCCATAGGCTGTTCTTGATCCAGCACGTCAGGATGGGCTAGTCCCCCTGCAAAGTTATGAGAGCAGAATGTACCATAGACCTGCCCAGCACAAACTGTCAGATGATTGACATGACGTAGAGATGACGTAGTATTTCAAGTATGCTACGCACCTAAAAAGAAGGAGCTGTAGTTCCCACCCCTTCATTCAGGTGTTTCTGTAGCAACTTGAGCAAAGGTATATGTACTGAATTCATTGATTGACATCTGTTTAACAAAAATGCACAACTTTTTTTGTTGTTTTTTTTTAATAGGTATTTTGAGAGCCTTCATAGGGGGTCACCGTAACTCACCTCTAGCCCCACCGGGTACTGTTGCTTCGTCATCCATGGAATATCTGGAGATCCATCCTCTTTTCCCCAACACCCCACAGCAACGGAGGCGCTTAGCTACCCTCCCACAAGTCAACACCAGCCCAGAACACAACATTCCCGCTCCACCGGCACCATCACCAATCGGTATGCATTCCTTCGGATCACTCTCCAAAGCTGAGCAGATCGAGGATACACCCTCATCACCCTGGTACAAGTTGACCAATGGTACTCTCTCCCCACCACGCCATGTCTCTGCCTTCCAACCCGACTCCTCTTACTTGAAAAAGGCCACCATACCCAGTCCCCCTGTGCTCATTGTAAACCCACAGCCGAAGAAGAGTAGCTCATCAGATTATTGCGGTTCCTCTGACACAAGCGGAAGCCCCCCCAGCACGATAGGAAGCCCCCCAGGAAGCTCAGCTTTTAGCCCTCCGAAGTCTGCCTTTAGCCCACTTAACCCCACCTCAGCCTTCAGTCCTCCCTCCAACAGCGGGAGCAGTGATCCTGAAAGCCCGACACATCGAAGTAAGTTCCCCTCGATGGGAATTGGACAGATCCTAAAGAAGAAAGTCCAATTGCAGCCATTCTCCTTTCGGCCAGAACAAGTCATTGAGGAGGTAGTGTCCCCCCCTCCCTACCCTATGCAGACTCTCCTGTGTGCTTCAGGTGCGCTGAAGACCCTCTGCTGAGGAATCCATGACAAAAGAAAATGAAAGAATGACAGACTAAAGTTAAGGGCCCTCTCGACAGTTTTTTTTTTCTTATTTCTGTTGGAGAGGTCTTCCAGAGTGGCCTTTGGAATTGTGAACTGTCCTTTTGTTTAACTGAGCCGCTTTTCATGAATAATGTGATTATTTAAAAAAAAAATACAAACAAACAAAAAAATACTGAAGGGGGATTGTTCCACATGGGTTATATCTTTCCTCCCATGTTATGTAATGACAAGTGAAGACACTGAGAAGAAGAGATTTGAAACGGATCCCTGAGCAATGACTAAACCTTGCTGTGTCCCAGATACAGAGTTGACTCAGGACAACATGGTATTATGGGCCTTGTGAACAGATTTGCATACACATGAATATATACACACACAACACACTGTATAATAGTACATGTTTTGTAGTATTCCTGCAACTTACCTACTGAGCCGTAAACTGATTCACACCAGCTAACAGACCCCAACCTTTACCCTCACCCTAACTGTATGTGAAACTATTTTGTCTGTGAAAACTCTGTATGATAGCCACTGACCTCCAGCCAGCTGGCACTGGATCTTAAATGCTGATGGGGTGAAAAAGCTCCCTGCACTGTTCTTGAAAACCAAAACCAATATAAACAATGGTGTTGACCATCTTTTACCTCACTGCATCATTCACATGTGGAAGCATTGCAGTAGTCACGTATGACACGCTAGTGTAGATTGTGTCACTGCACTGCAACGTTGGAGTACATTAAAATCAACATAGTGAAACTGAAGTAGATACCAAGAGTAGAAACACATCTTAGAGTCACCTTTTTTAGAATTCAACCGTCATTAACTCAACTTTTTTATACACACGTTAGATCAGTTGTAAGATCCAAAGGGAAATTTCTGTAAAAGTCTTTGATACGAATCTTTTACAGCATGTAATGCTGCATTTTGGCAGTTTTGATGAAGAAAAGCTTCAAAATATGATATTAAAAGCCTTATGAAACGGATTCACCTCACCGGAGGTAAAAGGAAAGGAGATAATTTGGGAGAACTGCTACTGTTACATAACTTCCATAGAAATGACTAACTTCCTTTCGTCTTGTTGTGCAATAGTCTTAAATGCTAACTGCAATGATGAGTATTTGCCAAGAGCTCTTTGAGAGTTACGTGTAAATTGTCCCCTGTAAATAACAGACAGCGCCAGTGCTCATAACCTGCACCATTTGGTATGCGTGACGGTTTAAACAAGTTTGCTGAAATCGTATTTCACAAAAAGGCTTCCACAGGCACATGGAGCTTTTCACTGTTAAGGTATGATAGAATCTCTTCTTGTCCAAATGAGAAGTCGCATGAGTCGAATTGTACTGTGAGCATTGAAAAAGAGGTCTTTGTAACTTTTTCCTGGTTGAAACTGAGATTGATACTTACGCAGGGGTGGTGTATTTTGTAAGATTTTGTAACGATTGGTTCATGTTTGGGTGTCAAGAGATTTCTATGCTGTATAAAGTATTTTAAATATTTATAAAGAATCCCCTGTGTCTGTCTGGTCTTTAACATTGCACAATTCCTCTTGTCTGGACTAATTCTTTCACATCATGCATTGTATCTGGAGCCTATTAGTTGAAAATATTAAATAAATACACTTTAGTTCAGACTACAGAGCACTGAATCCAGCAGTTTTTGTAAAATATGTAAAATTTACACATGCCTTGTGGTTAGCAATTTATTCCTAAAACTCTTTGCTCCTTGAGGGCTTTATGAGACTTGGAAAGATCACCATTAATTTACGACTACAATGTGCCACTTGTCTCACATACCATGAACTTTTCCCATGGGACACGTTTTAAAAAAAGAAAAAAAAAAAGAAGAAGCATGGAACAGCTGAAGGACCCTTGGGACTGACGGTCACACACATACCGCCACCTCTCCCTCCTCAACGGCACTCAAAACACACACACACACACACACACTGCAGACACTAATCCACTCTGTGGCTCCCCCATCCAAATGATAAACATCTCTGGGTGACACTGCCATGTTGAGACAAAGGGGTGGAGTAGGGTGGGGGACGGTGTCACCACGGCGGCCTCTGAGACAAACACGCGCACAGGACAACACAAACAGGGATATACGATTAAATCGCCATGTGCTAAGCTGATAAAAGCTGAGGGGCAAGAGTGGCCCTAAGATACATTAAAGCCAGAGCCTTTTGTTTATCAATGAGAAAAGGAATGTTGGTCAAAATCACCCAGCAGTCTGGTGAGACAAAGACCCTGTGGAAGGAAATATTAGAGCTTAACCACTTTCAAGAGGATCTAACAGGATGTGGGCAGGGAACACTGTTCAGTGCTGCTCTGGTCAGATATGATCTAATGGTTTATTTTATGATTAACTCTGGGCATGGCCTTTCTTTTTAGTATCATCTGGCAGACTCTAAAAACAAACAAAATAGCTTGCTTTTCTGTTTCAGACAAAGGTAAATCAATGTTTTGGATTTATTGGCTGGAGAGAATATTTAGTATAATATGTTTGATAGAAGTTTTAAAGTATTAATTAAGGTTGGCTGACTGATATCTAACTTGAGATGGAAATTAATAATCCATGAGAAATGATAGAGAATAAAAACGTCTGAAATCCACTCTGATGTGATAACTGGGAAATAATTCAACCTTTAAAAAAAGATTACTGTTGAAAGAATCTGTGTAAAACCGGTTAAGATAGGATAAATGCATCAATATATATATATATATATATATATATTAAGAGTTAATGGTTAATGCACTTTTTTGCATAGATTATATTCCCTCGCTGAACTGAAGTGACTTTGCCATTAGTGGTATTACCAATACCATGTTTGGTATTGTCACAGAATGGCATCACACAAGAGGAATTGGCACCTCTGTTGGAACAAAAAAAGGTTGTGAAACCTTTTCACGTGTATCCAAACTGTCCACTTACTGTCCAGCAGGACATCATTTATGTCAATCTGTTCAGGCTTAGATCCCGATGACACTAATCCTGTTTTCAGCCCCCTGCTCATCACATACACACACACACTCACACCAGGGTGTCACTGGCAATGGGACGAGCCTTTGTGTCTGAGAAAAACAGACGATTAACCTGCCGTACAGCGGAGGCCACTAGGAATGCTCTTCTCAGCAGACAACCTCATTGTCCTGGGTCGGCCCCACACACCGCTGCAGCCTTTCTCTGCTGCCCTCGCACAGGCCGAGCAGAAGGAGAGAGTGAGCGCGGGGCAGGATACCTGGCAGACACCGTCGCGCACAAAGACGCAGGGGCAGATAAACAAACAGATGTTTCTAATGAAGCAGGAGGATTTGAGCACTCAGAGGGGATTTGGGTTATTCCTCCAGACTGACTGTCCGGCCATACCCTGTGATCAATTAGTCACAGATGAAGGTGATTAATGAAATGAGAAGTCTGACGTCTAACAGAGACGTTATTCCATTCTCCAGAGAACACAACAAAACTGGGTTAGGTTTGTCACAGATTGAAGACTGAAGTTACCCTGATTGTTTATTAATAAAACATAAACACACAGGTTAGTGTGGATTACATATTTTCAGTAAATCAGTAAATTAATTAAATACCTTTCAAGGGGCGGGCAGCATTTTTGTGGGAAGTAAAAGATATGCATTCACTAAAATACAAACAATGCCTTTGCTGAAATGAACAATAACAACACAACTACTAATATTCTCACTTCCAATTACAGGCAAAAATGCCTTTGAATCTCTCAAACCAATAAAACACAGAAATTTCCATGGCAAAAAGTAATTATTTTTCACAAACAGAGATTTTCTAAGTTGGCATACAGGTGGCACTCCTTGAGATGTTTTTTTCCTCTCAAAAACAAGATCAGAAATTCAATCAAAGAGCAGCGCACAGCCAATAGGATCTCAGTGTCTGTGTCAGCAGCAGCACCAGTCTGAGCCGCCATTGGTCGGCTGTTTCAGAAGGGAAAGCCTGCAATTGGTTGCAACCGTGCCGAGGCTTCATTGCCTCCATGGCAACATTGCTTCCTTATTGCTTAGGGAAGGTGAAAAGAAGGGAAAGAGGGGAGGCGACTTTTGCTCAGACACTACCTCTGCATTATTCATCCTTTGTCCCCGAGTGCTTGTCGAATGTGCGCAGACGAACCGACTGTTGAGTGTTTCTGTTAGTCTTGTATTTGGGTGGCAATGATTGGTTGAGACGGAAGGGGTGAACGGGGTGAAACCGGTGCAATAATTGCACTCATCTGTGCAATGCATCCAGCAACACC